CCAGCTACTAGGAAGAAAATTAACTATCCCAGCCGAAACCAGGACAGCGGGGTTTGGGGTTGTGCACCAACAACTGCCTCTGTGTTTGCTGGACCGCTGCCGAAGGCAGGGGAGCAGGTAGCTGGCACAACACACTGAAAAGTAGCTACTCCAGGTAGGAAGGAGTACCTCTCCTCCCACGAGAGGTGCTGAGGGCTGGCGGGCACGGGCTTATGGGCAGCTGCCTGCCCAGGTGCTCCGGGCACATCTGCCAGCACATTTCATTGCTCTGGTGCCACGAGGGTGCTCGGCACCCAAAGCAAAGTTGGTGCAAGGTGCCCAGACAGCGTGCCTGGCTCTGCGTGAGTGGGTGGGCCGGCAAAGGGCTGGGGGAATGTGTAGAGAGCAACAAGCAGGGAGAATTGAAAAAGCAGATCCCAAGTGTCCTCTTAGGCTGGCAAAATGCAGAAAAGTGCGTTCTCCTGTCATTGCAGAAAATAGTTTGAGCGTGTCTTAGTTGGGGTTAGTTTGCTGCAGTGGGACAGGAGGCATTTACACTCCACCCACCATCTCAGGGGCCTCCCCCCAGCCCAACACAAAAATAGGCTGATCTTTCCAAAAGATGGGGCGGGCGGGCTGGAAAATGCCATTCCTGCAGGGACCCACCGTGCTTCTGCCCTGGGAGAAGATGTTGTGAGTGACTGTGGCTTTCAGCAGACCCAGCCAGGGATGCAGGGACGAGCCCGGCTTCAGGCCATGCTGTACCCCGCTGCTGTCGGAGAGCTAGTCTCTGCACATACAAGTGTGCATATGCACAGCAGGAGCTTTCCCTCCCTACACCATCTCCTGAAGCTCAAGGAGCCAACATTTTTCCTTCCCAAAGGGCATCTGAAGCAGAAATCTCCTGCAGGCAGGGCATGCGCTTGCAGCCCTACCGTATGCCCCTGCAGAGCCAGTCCGAAGGCTGGAGGCTGTGCAAGAGCGTCCACTCTTCTGCCAGCACCTGGAGGCTGCCATCCCACCACCCACAGTTGCTCTGCCCCAGCTTGGGCAGAATTAGGTCTCCATCGCTATCTCTGGTCCCAGAGAGGGTAGGTGGGTGCTGGTGGAACAAGCCCTCCCAAACCTGCGGTGAGCCCCATGGCACTGTGCTGCGTGCCCGGGGAGCAGCCCAGGAGCTGGGTCCTTCATCCTCGGCAGCGCCAGGTGGCCAGGGGATGGCTGGGAGGCTCGTGGGCAGGGGTGGCTGGTTGGAAAAACAGCTCCTCTGCCCTCCCATCACTGCTCCCAGGAGACCCCCCAGCCCTGGACACTGGGGGTGCCTGCGGGTAGCCCTTTCTCGTGGATACTGAGACGTGCCCACTGTCCATGGCTTGGCCCTGCCGCTGCCGGCCCAGGCCCCGCTCACTGGTGGGGACTGGCCCATCGCCAGCTTCAGCCTGGCATCTCCCTTGTTGACATGAGCGTTTCAGGCCCTACATGGCCGGGCCCTGGCTCCCACCGAGCTGTGCCTCTGCCCGCACTGGGAGATGCTCCCCATGGCGCCTCCTTCATCACCCCTTGCCGAGCCCTCAGCTCCCTTGCCCGGCCCCGGGGCTGACAGGATGCTCCGTGCGGGGGCTTCCCGAGGGCTTTGGCACCAGCTAATCCCCCGGGAGGGTTTGGGAGGTGCTTGGAGCCCTGCTGGCTCCCCCCTCTCCATCCTCCCCCGGCCACTTCAGCTGCCCTGAATCATGCCACACCGCCAGTGCCGGCAGAATGGCAAAGCCCACGCGCATGGCTGGCAGGCACGGAGCGAGGAGGGGGAGAGTGGCCACGTCCCGGTAAGCGCTTTCAGGCAGGGTAATCTAGTGTTATTTGTAACACTAGTAGGGGAGCTATTTTTAGAGAGAGGCAAATTTGATTTAATAGAACATAATTTGCCACTGACAATTCAGAGGGCGGCCAAACAAGCAGCAGCTGGATTCCTAAGGAGGCTTTTTCCTGCCATTCCTGAAATCCAAGGCTGACGTACCAGAAGTGACATTTGTTATTGCAGCAATTGCTGGGGGAAAGCCCCTTGGGATGGCCCAATTAGCTCCACTTTGCTTTCCTTCTATTGCTTCGTGCTGCCCCGTAACCCGCCATTAAAAGAAGCAAAGGATATTTTTGCTGCCATCCATCACGGGAGGGCTTGGTGCCCCTGAACTCCTTCGGGCAGCTGGAGCCAGCTAGATTCCCCCCTTTGCCTTTTCTTCTGCAGGCTGAGCTAGCTCTGCTCTCTCAGCCTCTCCTTATATAAATTTAGGATAAAAAAGGTTCTGGTCAAGCCAAACAGCTCATTTGCTAGGAAACAGAAAGCCTATGTGCACTCCTGGAGGGTTTCTTACAGACTAAGTTCTTCTGGACCAGCCTCGGAGATACCTTGAGACAAACCCTTCATCCTGGAAAGGTGCAAACACCATATTCCTGCTTGTCCTTTCCCCAAGATGAAGATCCCCAGAAAACCAATGCCAGTGTGGGAAGACATTGGGTATTTTTTTCTAGCCCTAAAACAGTTGTGTCCAGCCTTGTCCCCAGTTGGTGGCATGGGGACAAAGAGCCACCGGGATGAGCTGGGACGGCCGCAGGCTGGAGGCAAGTTGCCATGGGGTGCGGAGGTGACATTTCCCTTGGGTTGTGTGTTGTCCCCACACGAGTGACCCAAGGGCAGAGCAGTGCGGGCACATGGCATCGTCCCCCCCAGCCCTGGGGTAGCTGTCCCACTTCCACCCCAGGCAGGAGCAGCAGAAGCATCTCAGGGGGTCCCCAAGCCCCTGCCAGCTCAGCCCCCACCTGCACTCCTGGCAGCCTCAGAGCCATGTTGTGCTGCAGCCAAGAAGTCCCAGGCCATGGGACAGGAGTGCTGAGGACAAGAGCCCCAGCGGCTATGCCCACTGGGGCTGTCTCCTGCTAGCAGAGGGATGGGAGAGCCACAGGGGAGAGGGGCAGGAGCATTTCTGGGCAGCAGCATCTGCCCAGCTCTTGGAGAGCATCCTCGGGCAGCAGCGTCCCTGGCAGGGCACGGCTTCATACCCAGCAAAATTTGCCATGAGGCAAATCCCCTCTGCCTGCCGGCTGGCCCCACACAACATGGGGCTGGAGCAGCTCCCTGGCAGTGAAGCAGGGTGTGCTCCGAGCTGCAGCTCCTGGCTGCTCTCGGAAGGAAAGGGCTGAGCAGGACTAAGCACAGCCTGTGTCGTTTAACTCCAGCAAACGTGTGCCCGGGGTTTGGTGGGCTTCTCTCCAGATGAACAGTCACTCCCCGCAGCTGGAAAAGCCCTCGGCAGCCATCCGGGTGTGTGTGCTCAGCCCTGTGCTGCTCACTCAGGGGTCACCGTCCTCCCCGTAGCCTGGAGGAGGGGTTTGCAGCATTTCCTCCTCCGACAACATGGGGCTTTGCCCTTGGGCCATGTCTCGCCCTGGAGTACTTGCAGCGGCTGGAGTTAAAGCCAAAATAACATTAGTAAAGAAAATTGGTTCTGCTGGGGACTGAGCAGCAATGCTTCCCTGATTGCATCCCAAAAGCCCCGTGAAGGTGGTCACATCTCCTTGCTGACACTGGGGCTGCCCTATGTGGTTGGAGTGAAGAAGGTCTATCCCAGAGACGGGCTGTGGGGGGAAATCCTGAGGATGAGGAGTTAAGTGCCTGCCCCTGCTGCACCCTGTGTGTGACTGTCCCTAGGGACACCGGCTGGGGGTGGTGTGGCACGTGGGACCCAGCAGCTCCCCAGAATGACTCGTTCACCTTAATCAAATGCCTTTTCCCATGAATGAAAAGGCACCGTGGGCAGCCCAGCCAGCTGCGGGGGATGCAGGTGCTCCCCGAGCATCGCCCCAAGTTGCGCAGCCTTTCCCAGCTCGCCCGTGCTCCGCTTTCTCCAGTCCGTCAGCTCAGGCTGGTGAAAACCGGGAGGCAACATTTAGCAAGGAGATGGTCCTAAAATCGAGATCAAATTGCTCTCCTCTGCTCCTTGAAGAACAACCACCTCCTTGGGAAGCTGCCCTTTCCCCCCATGACCGATTCAATTAAGTGAAGAAGCTAATCGATTTTGAAGCCTGAAAATGGATGGGCTGGAGAAGGCCACTTCTGACATTTCCTCTGCAGCACAGGTTTTTCCAGCCCAAGCAGGTTCCCTCTCACCCAATTTTGAACGTAGATTTTCATTTACAATAATTCTCGGCGGCGGAGCCAGCTAAAGGTCACCACCAGCTTTGGAGATGAAGGTGCGAGCTGGGAGTTTCCTCTCGTTCAGATCCCCTGCCTCCAGGCACTGTGTCTTCTCTAATCGTGTCCTTCCTTCTGCTCCTATCATGCTGGGTTCCCCTGGAAAACGCTGGGTGTAAATAAGGCAACAAGCTCCTTTCTCTGCCCGCGGCATTTGCCTTGCCTCTATCGAGCCACACCCTCTGGTCGCTGAGAGCTGTGGCCGTTGCAGGTGGCACCGTGCCAGCTCCACGGCAGAGGGGCTCCGAGGATGGTCACAAGGCAAGGTGCTCTGTCTTCCTCCTTGCACTCACCCCCCTTTCTGCCAGCCCCCCACTGCAGCTGACACACTCCCCTCTCCATTCCCGTGGGGCACCTGGAGCAGGGGTCTCCCACATCCACGGCGGGGGGCCCTCCCCAGCCAGGAAGGCACCCTTGCACCCCATTTCCAAGCTCATGCACCCCCCGTGGCAG